ACTAGGGGAACCACCGACGTACCCGCAGTGGGGCAGCGAAGTGGAACACAGGGACCCAACCCGGGAGGCAGTGCGTCCCAGGGTGGGGTCTGAGTGTGCGGTGTGCCACTTACCTGGCTCCACAGCTGGGCAGGGGGCTCGTGAGGAGGCATAGCATCCTTGAACCGGACCCTGCTGCCCACTGGCGAAGGGAGAGGTGGATGGCCGTGTGGAGACTGGGTCTCGTGCACCGCAATCCTCGCCCTCTTGGGACCCAGAGAAAAAGTAAACTGCTCTTTTTTTGAGGTTTTGGGTACCACTGGCTGGGTAGACACAGCGATCGTGACCGTCAGATGAAGCCAGGAAACGACCACCTCCAGAAACGCACGAGCGGGAAGCCATCTTTAAAATGACGCCCGTCGCTCGTGAAGCTCTTTTAGAAATTGCTCTTTTAGAAGAAAACTCACTCTTTTAGAGAGAGCGCTGAAGCGCCCAGGGGAGGTCGCGGCGAGACTGCAGAATGGAAGCTGCAGCACGCCGAAGATGAGCATCACTGAATGGCAAACCCCGCTGACGCGCCGTAACACCAACGCCAGGCTGTTTCTTTGCAGACACTCGTGGAGATTCGTCCTAGTAGAAGGCTCGGCTCCGAAGCGAAAAGCTGATGTGTGTTTGCACGCGCTCTCCTTTTATACCCGCGCTGCGGGGCGGGGTGCGCGTGGCGAAACACGCACGCCAACTGTCATTGGCTTGTTTAGTTAACACTCGAAGGTGATTGGGCTCTCGGGCGAGATCCCAATTCGTCAGTCACGACTGACGTAACGTCGAACGTGACTGACTGAAAGGGAACCAAAAACACCAAAGCTGATGCCCTATTGTGAACCCATTCTGCCTCCCAAGGTCATTGTCAGTCCTATCCAGTGGTCCCTGGATGATAGGATCGCCAAGGCTACTACCACTGAGCCCACTCAACCGGCTCCAGTCACAACGGACCTCTTTTATTTTTTCAGTTCACTCCTTTGTGGGAATTGGCCCAGGGACTGATCAGACTCTCTTGCTCCAACAAAATAGTTTCTTGTGGCCGCAAATGATAAGGGACACAGAAAGTTCATCCAAGGATGTCAAGTCTGCACCATGTCCAAGGTTCCTCACCATCTACCAGCTGGCAAATTGCTTCCACTGCCCATTCCTCGCCGACCATGGTCACACCTAGGAGTGGACTTCATCACCGACCTGCCTACCTCAGATGGCTCATGGACAGTCATTGTGGACAGATTCCCCTCAAAGGTCTTCATACTGCACTAAAAACCACTTAGCTTATGTTTAACTATGTCTTCCAAAACTTTAGATTCCATATACAGGATATTGTGTTGAACTGCAGACCTCAGTTTATTTCCCAGGTCTGAAAGACATTCTTCTCCCTTCTTGGCATGACCATGAGTCTGACTTCTGGCTACCACCCTCAAAGCAATGGGCAAACAGAACACAAAATCCCAGATATCAGGTTTTTCATAAGAACCCTCTGTCACGGCTACCAGAACTCTGGGAACAATTCCTCGCTTGGGCCAAATATGCCAAGAACACCTTCTAACAACCGACTACAGGTTTCACTTCATTCCAATTCCTTGGGTTCCAACCTCCACTGTTCCTGTGGTCTGGTGAGCTGTCCAAGGTCCAATGGTGGATTTTTTGAGAGAGGTTCTGGCACTGTGCACACCACCATCTTCAGTGGGCAGTGCGCCACCACAAGAGCTATGCCGATGCCTGGACAAGCAGTATACCCACCTATCAGTCCGGGCAGAAGGTGTGGCTCTCTGTATCTTTTGTGCTCTCTAGCATTACCTCCTGCAACCCATCACCATTAGTAAGTGTGACCATACCTCTATTCTTTCCTCCGCAGCTAGTGGTGTGTGCTCCCCATTCTCATGTTCCCTGCACAGTCCAGTTCACCAACACCCTGCAATAAGAAATCATCATCAACCAAGTCATCCTCATCCCTATTACTTTTAACAGTTTTCTATTCAACTGCTCATTCCAGTCCAATTTGTTCAATAAATATCCTGTTTGAATTCACTAACCTATGTCTTCAATGTTCATATAGATATAACCCAACTTATCCTGACTGACTTGTATTTCAAAATGCTTATGCATGTATTGTTTATTTCCAGCTCACCCATCTGATTTTTTTCTCTATGTTTCTTGTTGCATTCAGTCATTAAAAATTACAGGGTTTTGCAAGTTAGATGGCAAATCATCAAGGTGTTTTAATCATCATGGTTTTTCTCAATTAATTTACTATTTGAGTGACCTCCAGATCCAAACAGAGAGAGAAGCAATGACCTGTAAAACGAGAGAGGACACTGTTGTTGTTGTACAGAGAGAGTTTGCATTTCATTTCAGCTCTTTCTGCTTTTCATCTCTTTCTGCTGATTAAAGAGAAATACAAGCCATATTAGAGGATGCATTCAAAACCATATTTTTTTATTGGAGGAAAAAAACTTGTGCTTAGGCGTTTGGGTTAAAGAATTTGACTTAACAAAACAAGCTTTCCATTATCAAATTTACAATATTTTATTTGTTCACCTGACTTTTCAAATCTGCATAGGCTACATAAATAACTCATGTATGTAAAATCTAGTGCCATTGTACATCATACTATTCTCTGAGCAGGTGACTTGTGGTTGTGTAATGTTTATTGATCTGTCTGCATTCACATGGTATAATTTTTCTTGAAGCAAGCATACTTTGTAATTTGATTGCGTATGTGTTACTATGTCAGGCACATAAATCAGTGTGGAATGGAAGGTCACTAAGACCTGAGCAGACACAAGCATGCATTCTCCATACATCTTCAAGTGAAAACCTCACTTTTGTTTTTCTGCTCTTTTCTTGTTTTTCAGAACCACTTTGAAAAGATTGACAAACTGTTGAATTCTATAGTGGACAGCCTATTTGGGGAAAGAGGTTTGCACTTTTAACACTTTTCTATGCTGATGTTATTAATTGTGCCATTGCAAATAATACCATGTAATTTAGTACCATGCCGTTATCTCCTGTGTGCTTTAATTCAGTGTCAATAAACAAAAATCGGCACACTGCCACTACTGCTCTCAAAAACGAAAACGTTGTTACTGAGAGCAGTAGTGGCAGTGTGCCGATTTTTGTTTAATTACAGTGAAGTGCTCCATGTGATCAAGCACCTGCCTAAAGTTTTTGGATGTGCGCATATTACACTTTCTTTGTTTGCTTTAATTCAGTGAACAATACATAATCTGCCCTTAGCATGTGCAGAATCAGTATTTATTATATATTCATAGAACATGTCCATGTGCAACAGAAACATAATCATGTATTGTAGATGTTTAATGCATTTTGTCAGAGGACACAGTCAGTCTGCACCAGGTCAAAAAATAGCCATATTAGTAATATACATTCTATCAGAGGGACATCAGCATTCTTTGAGGAACCTGCAAAGTGAAGTTATGTATATGTCATGAACTGTCAATTCACCTGCCCCAAAATGAATTACAATGAATTATGCTGCCGTTTACTTAACCCTTGGAAGTCACTTTTATAATGTGGATATTTGAATTCCCATTAACACTTCTCTTATACTCCTTCTTTTGGGTGCTGTTGGCATGCCAGAAGTGGTATACAGAGCAGCCTCAGGAATACAAATACTCCTTCATCCACTGTGGAACATTAACCCATCCATTTCTTTTTTCAAACCGCTTGTCCTGTGTAGGACTGCTGAGATGTTGGAGCATATCCCAGAAAAAAAAAAGTTTCAAAGTTTATTTGTTGGCCGGAGGCTGATTAAATGCATTAATGAATAAGCATTTCTATCTGTACATCTCTGCAGCCACACAGCCATAATAATGGTATTGGTGCATTCCAAATAAAAATCTAATTTGTCTGTCCTTTTGTTTTGCTGTGATTTTTCAGGTTGAGAATAACATATAACCCACAAAAAAAATAAATAAGTAAATAAAAATAAATAAAATTTGGATGACACCTCTGTGATAAAACTAATGCATTAAAATGACTTGTGATCCTATTAATCTAGGAATCCACTTCTCACATGGAGAGTAAAATGTTCAACATTTATTTAATGTTTTCAGTTTTTTTTTTCACTGTCATGGTCATACATTTGATTTAAAATTGACACATGGTTTGCCTGTGGCTGACATACGTGATATCTCATTTTCTGATCACAGACAGATATTTACAATATCCCTTCCAGCATTACCCAGTACTCTACCAACCCGAGCACATTGGCCTCACATCTTCACTACATATTTACATGATGTTTTTTTCTGAAATGTATCTGGAGACTGACAAACCTCTTTAGACTTTCTTACTATGCTCTAACATCTTAGATTATATTGCACCTCAGAAGATTATCTATAGTAAATGCAATGTTTCAGTCATGGATAATTAGTGACATTCGACAGACAGACGATAGATAGATAGATAGATAGATAGATAGATAGAAAT